CGGGCTCCCTGCTGGGTGCCCGGGTTCCATGCGGAGCCTGTCAGCCACACTGAGACGTGCGTGGCGGGAGCCTCGTCGGGCCGGGCGCTGCGTAGTTCTGTTCTGGATAGAGGCTCAGCAGCGCAGGACAGAGATAGACTCTGACGGTAACATGGGCGTGGGGAATACCCCTGCTGCTGTGGCTGCGGCCGCCCGAGCCCTTGGTGGGGCCGACCCTGGAGCTCCAAGTCCCTGTGGTTGGTCCAGTGCCGCACTGACCAGGCCAGCCTGCAGTCCTCCCTCGGACCACCTGGGCCTCCGGGTTTGAAATGCCATAGGGCAGCATGTGGTGAGACCCAGCGTCCCCTCATTAGCCCTGCCTGGCCTGGCCAGGGCGTGCAGGCCACAGAGGACAGGAGGCCCAAGAGCCGTGGCTCAGGCTAGAGGCTCCACATTCCCAAGGCTGCCGTGGGAAGAGCAAGTGGCAAAGTCAGAGTGAGCCACCAGCCCCCACTCCGAGGGACGCCTGCGGGCGTTAGACTGTGAGAGCTTCTCCCCGGGAGGGCGGAAGTTCTGCCAGGGAAGATTTTCCCGCCGAAGACTTGCCAAGCCCTTGGCAAAGGTCCTGCCCTTTCAGTCTTATGATCCAGAACTGAGGGACCCGTGACCGTGGTAACAGCCCGTGGGCTCAGCTCTGCTCCAGGCTCCTGTCCAGCCGTCACCTGCCTGCACTATGGAAGCCTTCTGGCAGGTGGGCACGCTCCCTGCAGGCGGAGGGCGGGCCCTGCAGAGCTGCACTTGAGCTACACGCAGCCCTCAGCCGGGCCCCTGTCCCAGACGGGCCATTACTAGCTCGGCTCCGTACAGCTCCTGTGAGTAGCGGGTACCCAGCGCACAGGCAGTGGTGAGAGGGAGTGAGTTAGGTGTGGGACCTGGAAGTTTTGGGCCCAGCATGGGTTCTGCAGCTGCTCCCACCATCATGGGCCGGGGCAGGTGGCGGTGGGCGCCGGCCCTGGAGGAGCAGGGCTGAGCTCCTGCTCGGCATAAAGCCCGTCCCTTCACACCTCCCTTGTGGCTCTGGGAGCAGCTGACGTGAGGCGGGACTGGCACATGGGGTGGTTCATGCTGGAAACACACGGGTCGTGCTGGCCAGCCTGGCCCCAGCCCCAGAGCACTGAGGTCTCTGTCCAGCTGCATGCTGGTGCGACGTCTGTGTGTCTGGGCTGCGGGCTGACATCCGTGTGTCCGGGCTGCACACTGTCGCCCGTGTGTCTGGGCTGCGCGCTGACGTCCGTGTTTCCAGGCTGCACGCTGTCGTCTGTGTGCCTGGCTGCGCGCTGAGGTCTGTGTGCCGGGCTGCGTGCTGTCGTCCGTGCGTCCGAGCTCACGCTGTCATCCGTGTGTCCGGACTGCGTGGATGGTGCGTAAGCAGGCCACAACTGTTGCTCAGGCGATGGCGTGGCCATCAGGCGGAGACAAGGGCAGCCGCAGCCCGGCGCAGGGCTCGGGCGCTCACTCTAGAGAAGGTAGCAGTAGACCTCTACTGCTCAGGGGAGGCGGCCGCTGTGCGATGGGGGCGGCTGGCTGGGAGTTCACTGCCGCAGTGGGCGGGGCCTGGCGGGGCCTGTGCATTCACGAGTCGGCTCGTCCGTGAGGGCCAGGGCGTTTATTCGCCCTCTCCCACCATCCATGCACCTCCCCAGGGCTGCTCCAGGCTCAGTGGTGGGAAAGAGGCCCCGTCCCTGCTTTGAGCTGCCCCAGGACCTTCCAAAATCGTAGACTCCTGGACTGGCCGGTTACCGAGGGGCCGTGGAGACGGTGCGTCCTTGCAGACGCTTCGATCTCAGGGTGCCCCACTGAACAGCCCACCCACACACTCAGATACACTCACACACTTGTGCCCATACACACATGTGCTCACACATACAAACTCACACATGTACTCACATACACACAGTCATGTGTGTGCGCACACGCGCTTAGCACATGTGCCTGTACACACAAGTTCATACACACATTGCTCATATACACATGCTAATATACGCGGTTGCACACATGCTCACATGCATGTTCATACATATATGTAGTCACACATGTGCTTACATACATATGAACATACGCACATGTATTAACACACTCATACACACAACTCATACACATGCTCATATACACACATACACACACTCCTATACACGTGCACATATACACACATGCTTGTACATGTGCTCATGCACACACTCGTACATATATGTGGTCTCACAACGCTCACATACACATGAACATACACACTCATACACATGTGTGCTTATACCCACACATGCTCATACACACATGTTCATGCACATTCACATACACATGTGCTTATACACACACTCGCAGACGTGCTCACACACAAGCTCATATACACCTGTGGTATGCATACTCACACACACGCTCATACACATATGCACGCTCAGACACGCTCAGACACACATGTCACACACATGGACACGTGCACAGTGTTGCATACCATTTCCCACTTAGAGACCACGTCCTGGGGGCCCGGCTGCCAGCTCCAGCTCCAGCTCCAGCAGAGCCAGGGGACCCCCCTCCACCTGTCACCTGTTGCCTGGCGGGGAGGGGAGCTTGGGCAGATGTGGACAACGCAGCCGGGGCCCGGCTCACATTTCCCCTCCCAGCAGATATGCGCGTGGTTTCCTGCCCTTTGGGAAGTCCCCCTCAGGCCCAGCCTCTGGGCAGTTTGAAAGTACAGGGCAGCTTTCTCAGAGGTCTGTCTCCTCTGCAGTGTGCGTGGTTCAGGGAGGCCCTGGGGAAGGCCGATGGCGTTACCCCCACGTTTATCCGAGTGAGAGTGAGCCTGACTGACCAGAGCCTCAGGGTCACCACCTGCAGAAATCGGCCCGGCTCTCCCATGTGAGTGACTTCGGCAGGTCACCTGGCACCTCATGCCTCCGGATGTCCATCCCTAACGTGGGCGTGGACGGGGCCTACCTCTCAGCACAGCGCTGATGTGCCCAGACCTGGGACGCCTTGGCTCCCATGGGCTGCGCTGAGGACATGCCTGCACCACAGCGAGCTCACACGGTCTCCTCCCAGCTGTGGTCCACAGGGGCTGGCCGGAGTTGCACCCAAGAGGAGGCTGACCGTCCAGCTTGCATCTGCAGCTGGTGCCGGGGTCTGCGCTTGAAGGGCTCTGTCAGGTCCAGACCAGGCTGAGCTCCCGACCTCTGCTGGGGTTTGGTCCTGGGACCAGTTCCGAGGGCAGACTCCCAGGCAGGGTGCGCTGGCCCAGCCTCCCTGGGCCTCCGCAGTGCTGTGGTCAGCAGCCCCTTGCAGGCCCGGGGGCCATTTCTCCCTCTGCCGGGCTCCTCTCTGAATGTAAAAGTGGTGTTGAGCAGCCGGCGTTTCCATGGAGCTCAGGCCTCTCCTGAGGGGGGCTGGGGCAGGTTTCCATCACATGGTGCAGGCGTGCACTGGAGACGGGAGGGCTCGGCGGAAGCGCTCCTGCTTTATTTCCGCTTTGAAAGGGTTGTTTGGGAGAAGGGACCTGCTCTTCCGCGTTAGCTGTCGTTAGCTGTCGAGTCAGGGGGACCCGCATCCCAGTGTCCCTGTCTCCCAGGAGCCCTGGCAGTGACGGCGGGCCTGCCTCTCAGTGAGGCTGGGCACTGGGTTCCATCGGGGATGTGCCGTGCTCCATGGCACCCCAGCCTCAGCCTCACTTTGACACCCTAAACCCCGGGAAGGGTGGGGGCCGTGTCTGGAGAGGAGGAACCATTGGTGGCGTTCCCTAACAGGTCGGAGTAGGCCGGTGGGTAGGTCTGGGGGCCCGAGCCAGGTGCTCGGCTCTGCCATGAGTACGTCTGTGTACGTCCATGCCCCTCCCTCCCCATCTGTGCCTTAGTCTCTGGGTCTGGAGAGTGGAGGTGAGAACATGACCCCCTCGTGGTTGTGAGGGTGCAGTGAGCTGCACGGGCCCAACGCAGTGGGTGAGAACATGACGCCGTCGGGGTTGTTGGGAGGGTGCAGTGAGCTGCCCGGGCCCACCGGAGTTGGCCCTCCACAGAGACTGGGGCCACCACTGCCTCGGCCAGTGTCTGGGTCTGCAGACGTGTGGGTCTTCATGGATTTCCAGGAATTGCGCGCTACGTAGTTCTGAAGGCTTTGTCCCCTTTAAGGTAAGAGGGACCCAGAGCATAGGGCTGTGCGCGTCGCAGGGCCGCTGACCGGGGTGGAGCGGCGGGCAGCCGCTTATGATTCCAAACGTCGAAATGTGCACCTCTCCTGCCCCCATGCTCCCTGCAGCGTGGCAGTGGGCAGTGGAGGTGGGCAGGCTAGGAAGGCTGAGGTGGCGCTGGTCCGCCTCGTCCGGCCCTGCCTGCACGGAAGGAAGGCTTAGTGCACCCGGCAGAGCATCGGCTTCGAGGTGACAGACTGAACCAGGAGCCCGGGCCGGCTGGGCTTGGCTGCAAGAGGGAAAGTTCTGGTGTAGCCAGAGCCACTGGGGACGGTAAACCAGGGCGAGGCAATGCCCGGCTGTGGACGAGGCTCGTCAGAGAAGGTTACGTGAGAACGAGACTCTGTTCGATGCCAGTCGACCTAGCCGAGTGCCTGTGCACACGGGTCATGCACAGAGGTGTACAGCTGCGTGTACAGCCATGTACATGATACTGCACACGTGTGTGGACCTGTGTGAGCCAGGACAGACTGCTGTGCCGGCCGCAGCTTTCTCGGTGGTGGGCCTGTTTGCTTTGCCAGTTTGCCCTGAGTTCATATTCCTTTCATAATCAGAAGTACATCGTGTGCTTCTTAAAACCTTTGTTGGGGAGTGACCGGTGAAGAGCGTGGGGGCGCTCTTTGGTGGGCGGCGTCTGAGATTTGAACCTGACAGTGCTCCGGAATGCCGCGGGGGCTTCGAAGGCTCTAGCTGGGAGAGGTTTTTCAGCTTTGTCTGAGTCCGCCCTAAGACGAACCTCTTACCACTGTCACATTCTCCTGGAAGACTGACTGCTGTCTCCCCCCAGACTTGAACGTCACCTGCCGTTACGCCGGGGTGTTCCACGTGGAGAAGAATGGCCGCTACAGCATTTCCCGGACGGAGGCCCCCGACCTCTGCAGGGCTTTCAACAGCACCCTGCCCACCATGGACCAGATGAAGGTGGCCCTGACCGTGGGCTTTGAGACCTGCAGGTAGGAGCCCGGCTCCCGCCCACGGGACGGCGGTGGCTGGGGTGGGGCG